CCAGGGGGCGGGGCCGGCTGGCATGTGGTGCTGGGGGATTGAACCGCGGTCCCTGTGCTCTGCCAAGCTTGTTCCAAGTAGGTGCCTTAGACCACTGAGCCATCTCACCAGCCCCCCCACCCCCAACTTTTTAACAGTGGTTATTATAATTTGTTGTTCCAGGGCCTGGGGTGATGGCTCAGTAGAATAAGCATTTCCCTGGCACGCGCAAGGATCTGAGTTCAAGAAGTGTACTATTTGTTTCTCAATAAAATTAATAAAAAGGTGTACGGGACACTGCTTTTCAAAAATAAGTATTAAAGTTTGCTCGTGAGCATTTTATCTTTAGCTTCCTGTTAGATAATGGCTGCCTTTGTGTCCTAGTTTCTTTATCTGTCATGATAGTCTTTCCAGGGCACTAAAAGGGCTAGAGCACTGAGTTGGGCATGTAGGCTGCTGCTTTTTTTTTTTCCCCCCCTTTTTTAAAAACATATTACGGGGTCTCACTACATAGATCAGACTCATGATCCTCCTGTTTTCAGCCCCTCAAGCACTGGGATTACAGGGTGGTGCGACCACGCCCATTCTCATTTGCTTTCTCAACGGCCTTGGGGGACAGACCGGAACAGCACTCGGGGGATTGAACCCAGGTCCCTGTGTCTGGCTAAGCAGGCACTTTAATCAGATGAGTTACCTGGCTGGCCCTTGATTCTTGGTTTTTTGCCAGTGGAAAATTCAACAAATTTGAGCTCCAATGGAATATGTGAAAAGAATACATTTATTTCCCTGTGTTCCATGTAATTCTGTTACCTGTGTTCATATGTGGAAATGTTACACATTTAAGTAGTGGTCCTAGTACATGGAATTGAACCCAGAGGCTGGCCTTGAACTCAAAATGATCCTCCTGCCTTAGTTTTCCAAGTGCTGGGAGCCTCCCAGGTGCTCCCAGTCTTGCTGAGTTGCCCTGCCTGGCCTGAGGTTTTGATCCTCCCTCAGCCTCCAGAGTATTGGGATCAGAGGCATGAGCCACCATTCTGGCTCATTTGGGCACATTTGTACATGTACATAATGTACTTGTATTGTCATCCCTCCTCCCAGTTTCCAAATTGGAGAGGTTTCAATTCTTTTGATTATATTTTGCTAACTGATTTGTGTTCTTGTCTTTTTTTCTTTTTTAATTATTATTTTTTTGTGCGTGGCCAGCTCAGCCCACCAGGGGGCGGGGCTGGCTGGCATGTGGTGCTGGGGGATTGAACCGCGGTCCCTGTGCTTTGCTAAGCTTGTTCTAAGTAGG